GTATAGAATTTAGATATATACCTGAGAGTGAGAAACATATTGCCCCTTCAAGTTGAGACCAATACCAATTCACCAAATTGTTTCTATTTTCTAAATGCCTGAATAATGAGAAAGAGACTTTTTAGGGTACATTTTATTACTTTCTTCAAGGTAAAATTATTACTGTATTTAAACAATTGAGGGCATTTGAAGTCATGTCTTTGGAAGCTTCTGATAGGTTTATTGATAACATCTGTGTTAATTAGAGACACCTGTGGATGTAATTTAAGGCACACGTGAAACACACTGCTTCATTGAAAAGTCAAAAGAAATCAGCCAACATAGAAAGAGAATTGTGGACCTGCACAGGTCTGGTTCTTCTACTGTAGGTGCAATTTCCAGATGCCTGAAGGTGCCTCATTCATCTGTACAAGCAATTATACACTAGTACAAACAAGATGGGAATGTCCAGCCATCATACCCTCAAGAAGGAGACGGGTTCTGTGTCCTAAAGATTTGCTTTGGTCTGAAATACACTGATGGTTTCTGATCAGAGTGAAGGGCAGCATCTCATCAACTCATCACTGTCTGATTTTCCTAAATATTATTCTATTGGTGCAACTTTTGTTTTATGCTTTTAAATTCATGGCACATGTATGTTCTTTAATGTGTATGTGTGTCTATATTCTGCATGAACTTAGCACAAAAAGTTGGCATAGCAACATAAGAACAAAAGCAAAAGAGCTGGTGAAGATACTTACTGAAGCTGGTAAGATAGTGTTATTATCCACATTAAACCATTTCTGTATTCACATGGGCTGAAATGCCACTCTGCTAGGATTAAGCCATTACATTAAAAAGTTAGATTAATGTTTGTAAATGCACACAGGGACAAATACCTTTGGAGACGTCCTGTTTGAACTGTTTGGCCATAATGACCATTGTTACATTTGGAGGAAAAAGTGGGGAAGCATGAAATCACCATCCTGACTGTGAAATACAGGGGTGGCAGCTTTATATTGTAGGGTTATTTTATTGCAGGAGGGACTGGTGCACTACTTCACTAACCAGATGGCATCATGAGGAAAAGATTATGAGGAAATATTGAAGCAACACCTCAACACATCAGCCAGGAAGTTAAAGCTTGGGTGCAAATGGGTCTTCCAAATGGACAATGAGCGTACTGCTAAACTGGTTACAAAGTGGCTCAAAAGAATAACAAAGGAACTGTTTTGGAGTGGCCATCACAAAGCCCTGATCTCAATCCTATTGAAAATTTATGGGCAAAGCAAAGGAATGTGTGAACAAGGAGGCCTACAGACATGGCTCAGTTCCACCAGTTCTGTCAGGAGGAATAGGACAAAGTCCTGCCAACTGAAGCTTGTGGAAGGAGATCCGACATGTTTGACCCAAGTCTTAATTAAGGGCAAAGGTACCAAATATTAATGTGTGAATTTAAAATTTTGACTTAGAAGAAACTAATAAAAAATGCCTTTAAGAGGGGGGCGCTAGTGTGCAGTAATGGAGTAGATGTGTTTTACAGAGCTCCGTGTCACTACCTTCATTCAACATTTATTTACTACACCAAAGATATTAATTTTATCACCGAGGGAGTAACTGGCATCCGTCTCTTCAGTTTACTTCAGTTTTGGCATCTCACATTATGCCTAGGAAAGAGGAAGCCCAGAAGTCGACCGCTCACGCGGGC